GGCTAATCTCTGTCATTTATGAATCAATAGATTCTTTGAATTCTGACCCCTCTGAATCACTCAAGAGTACCTGGTAACAAGAGCTGGGGTTAACAATAAGTGAAATAGAGTGGGATTATATACTTGATTTAGTACATTCTTCTTCCATATGTGCCAGACACCATTTGATGCAATGCAAGATTCTTCACAGAGCGCACTACACTAACGCTAGATTAGCCAAAATATATCCAGACAGAAGTAACACTTGCAATAGGTGCCCACAATCTCCTGCAAATCACACTCACATGTTTTGGTCTTGTCCAAGACTGACAGAGTTTTGGTCTAAAATATTTGTTACTTTTGAAAAAACCTTTAACATATCAGCCACTCCAAACCCTTTTACAGCTCTGTTTGGAATTTCTTTTAAGCCAAACTTGCCTTCAACAACGCAAGGCGTTATTGCTTTTACCATGCTATTGACTAGGAGGCTTATTCTCCTTAAGTGGAAACATGCATCCCCTCCTTCATATGATAGAAGGATAAAATAAATTATTTTGTGTTTAAAGCTGGAAAAAATTCGTTTTTCATTAAAAGGGTCTTTAAAAGCCTTTTATAAAACATGGAAACCTTTCTTGAATTATATTGATACTATTGATCTGTCACTTGAAGATGCAGAAGAGGATTAACAGTTTTTTTTTCTCTCTCTTTTTGGTTTTGTTTATTTATTTAGTTGTTTTTTTTTCTTTCCTTTGTACATTTATTGTATCATTTAATAACTACACTTACATAATTATTGTTATTTGCATTTGTTTGTGTTATGTGGTTAAGATAATAGGGGTAGAGGGGATGGGGGATTGGGAGGGAGAAAAGCAGAATTGTGGATTACTAATTTTTGCATATATAAGATGTTGTATCTGCACAAAATGCCAATAAATATATTTGGGGGAAAAAATATATATATCACCTTTCAAGGCAGAGCTTCCCTTTTTGGTGAGTGCCAGCTCCAGACATTAGCCTGAACATAGCCTGGAATTTAATTTAATGGCATTAAATAATATTTCTATATATTTTAATATTATTTAATGATATATCTCTCTCAGGATTTCACCCAAAAATTTACACAAAAGAAGATATTCTGAAGAACATTTTGAAGAATGCTGGTAACCAAAAAGTTTTGGTTTGGTTTGGTTGGACTTTCTTTGTATCGACAAAAAATACTGTTCATAAAATTCATGGCACCCAATGAAGCTCATGGGACACATTTCATGCCCAAAGTGTACATGTAATACCTATTACCAAAGTCCTGGAAGGATCGTGCCATTTTACTGCTTGAGTGCAAGTTTTTTTCCAGACACAATACACTTTTTGACTACTACGGCATGGCTTCGAAATGGTCTTGTCAAGGCTCGTAAGTGCTAATCACAGGAGAGCTGGTTCTGGGTGATTGTATAACTTCTTAAAGAAAGAAATCTGTCAGAAAAGGAGGACCGGTGAGTCCCAGAGCACCTGACATTCACAAGCCCTCTCTCTCTCCAAGAGGTAGCCTACTTTAACCACAGAAGTTATTTGAAGGACACCGGATCAGTCTGTCGGGAAAGCTCTAGTCAGAGAGGAGTCTTGGGAGAATGTCTCTTGGTTCCTGACACTCCCAGACCTCCACACACATTTTTCTCACTTTGGAACTTAATTGGACACCACCTCCTCCGGTACCTTTGAGTCATCTCATGCTGTGCGGTGGAAGTAGATGCGGTTGGCAGTGTAGGGCATTAGGACACTTGCTCGTTTAATGTTAAATAAGTGCAAGTGAAATTAAAACAGCACTTAATAGCACTCACTATTTTTTTCATGCACAATTGTGGCTTGATATTGACACTGTGATAATTCACACATTTTTATATGCAAATATATATTTTTTAATATAGCTTTTTATAGCATTTTTTTTCAAAGAGCGCATCATACCGACATAATATTGAACAGCTGCATGGATAAACGAGTATTAGGTGTCAAGTGTAAATCTATTCAGTGGGATTACAGAAAGAGGAATAATGGTTGAAAGTCAGGCAATAAATCAAGTCTGCTACGCGTGGCTGTGGTACAGATAGGATCAATAATCTAGTGAATTGTCTTTGCGTTGTAAATCCAATTCTCGTATCTCATACTTTGGAACACATTCAAGGTTAATGTTGCTCAGTAATACATGTTATTTCAATGGTATGAGAAAGTCTCATGTACCATGATTGAGTTACTATGGATCTCCTGTATGTGTTCAGCAACCTGTAAAACTGAAATGCAGAAAATTATAGGGCTGTGTGAGTTATGGTTGCTATCAGAAGCTCATTCATTGACAATTTAAAACATACATGCACTACCTTTCAAAAGTTTGGGGTCGGTAGGATTTTTTTTTTAATGTGACCCTGGACCACAAAACCAGTCTTAAGTTGCACGGGTATATTTGTAGCAATAGCCAAAAATACATTGTATTGGTCAAAATTATAGATTTTTCTTTTACTCCAAAAATCATTAGGATATTAAGTAAAGATCATGTTCCATGATATTGTCCGATCCTAACAAACCATACATCAATGGAAAGCTTATTTATTTCTAAAAATTGACACTTAAGACTGGTTTTGTGGTCCAGGGTCACAAATGGTTTTGAAAGAAGTTTTATGGTTAAGGCTGCATTTATTCAAAAATAACAAAAACAGTCAATTTTAAAATAACTCCGTGTCACATTCTGCTTAAAAATTCTTTGATCAATAGAAAGTTTAAAATAAACTCAGCATTTATTTGAAACAGAAATCTTTTGTAACATGAATTGTCTTTACTGTCACTTTTGATCACTTCAATGTTTTTTGTATTCATTTCTATGGGGGGAAAAAAATTACTGACCCCAAAATCTTCAACAGTGGTGTACATAAGTAAATATGTATTTAAATGCATTTTACCAAATTTAAAGTGTGGTGTTGTGGAAGCTACTTTAAATTAGATTTTTTAAATATATAACTGTATAATATACACTGGAGATCAAAATTAGAGAACAACCTGCAATTTCCTAAATTTCAAGGTCACTGCTTAGGCCTATTTGAAGTTATCCTAACAGGAGTAGAAGGGCCGTTTTTAAGCATATTTCATAAATTTATTGTATTCTGAAGCACAGTATACAAAACCAAAATTAGAGATTATCAAAATTAGAGAACACTTACAGATACCTCCAAGTTATTGGTGTTAATCTGGCACCTGGTGCTAATTTCCTTAATTATATGACAAACCCTATTTAACTGGCAGCTTTCCTCTAATTTTCACTGAGATTGCAAGATGGCGGGCCGCTCTAACATGACTGAAACTCTGCGACAGGAGGTTGCCCAGATAAAGGATGACCCTTTCAGCCATTGCAAGAGAAGCTGGTCCCAAATCTGTGATTTCTAGAATATTGCGGCTTTACAATGACACTAATTCATTCAAGTCCCCAACAAAGGGCTGGTCGTCCACGGAAGACACATGCACAAGAAGACAGGATAATACAGAGGCTCTCAATGGGTAATCGTTCAACACTGCAGCTGGAATTGCTCACCAGTTCAGCGATGAACAGGGTATGGATCTGTCTCGGCATGTTTAAGAAAGGCAGGCTGAAAGTGCACTGAACATTGAAATGAAATAATGAAATGGCCAGCCCTGATTTAAACCCAACTGAAAATCTCTGGAAACTCCTTGACAACAAAGTTAAGGCTAAGAAACCCACTACAGTTACCATACTATGGAAGAGACTGGAAGACTTTTTTTTTCTCTGGTACAGATAGTTATTTTATTATAATTATTTTGGTTATTTATACATGTAATTATTTTTTTTAAGCCTTTCTAGGGACATGAGATGCAAATTAGCACTTGCTATAATCTCTATGTGCAGTGCATTTTTTCCAGTCTTTGACTGGAATCATGTCTATTGTACTGTCCCTATCTAAATAAACGAAATAAATGAAATAAAAAGAAGAGTGGACCAAGATCACACCAGCGCAGTCTGAGAAACTAGTGATGTCCTGCAGCTGCAGATGTGCTGAAGTCATTCAAAGCGGGGGCCTCTACAATTCCTAATAAATTTTGGCAGCTGTAACCCTCCAAAATTTTAGTCGCACTCTTCTTTCATGCTACAGTGGTTACTGTTTTCTAATTTTGATCACTTTTTTTCCACAAAATAAAGGTTTTTGTTGAAATCCCCTGGTTATTTTGTTAAACATGTTAGTTGTGTTTATCCACAGCTAACATTCCTTCACATTTTGAGCGATGAAGATTAATTCAGAAAATAATTAAATTAATTAGTAATTTAGAATTTCAGAAAAAAATGAGGTATATATGGATTGTTCTCTAATTTTGATCTCCTCTATCTATCTATATATAATTTCTAAATCAGAGCTGTATTTCTCTGGCTCAAACATTCAAGCAAAAACTTGAAATTGTGAATCTAAACTGACTGAATCAGTTTAAAAATTGACTCTATGTATTTTCAGAAACTCTGATTTAATTCAGTAAATCAGTTAGTTCAAAATGAAATGAATCAAACTTTCCAACACTATACTGTATATAATAAACAGGACATTTTAAAAGAGCCCATTTAGTTTTTGCCTCAGCTCGATCTTCTGTAAAGCAATATAATGTGAAGAGAAAAACACTTCAGAGCTGCTTGTTATTGAAAAGGTTTCACTTTGAAAACGGAGATAATGGCATGTTAGGAGACAAGAGCTAAAGGCTAGTTCGTACTGTTGCTTCTTTTGGGTACTTCACAACATTACTTTAAGTGATCAGTTACAGTATTCATTTATAGTTTTACATTTGACCTTATTTACCATTAGAATGTTGAGTGTAAATTAGATCACATGTCTTGAGGTTTTGATTGCATATATATCATAAAGCATCTTATTGTCTTGAAATAACAAATTTATGGTACCCACATGTACTTGATTAAGCTGTAAACATTCATCATCAAATGCAGAATTAAATCTACTGTATCTTCTGTCTTGATTCTACAGGCTGAAGGTTCTACCTTTCTCCAGATGGGAGCTTCTATAGAGCAGCAGATAAATGCAATGTTCAAAGTGATGGAGGAGTACAACTGGGGTAATTTTGTAGTGATCACCAGCTTGTATCCTGGCTACGAGAACTTCGTGGACTACATCCACTCCTTCACGGACACCAGTTACTTCCTGTGGGAGCTGCAGGATGTGCTGAGCTTCGAGATGTCCGTGGGGGCCAATGACATCCGCACACGTAGACTACTACAGCAGGTGGACTCGCAGGTATATCTAGTGTACTGTTCCCATGAGGAAGCACAGTACTTGTTCAGAATGGCCTCTGATGTAGGGCTGCTAGGGCCCGGATACATCTGGGCCATCCCCAGTCTGACTGTGGGGAACCCTGAAGTGCCCCCTCCTGACAGTTTCCCAGTGGGCGTCATCAGTATTATCACAGACAGCTGGAGGAAAACACTGCGCCAGAGGGTTCGGGAAGGAGTCGCAGTCATAGTAAAAGCGGTGCACAGTTTCCACAAGTACAGAGGATTCATTCCCGAGGGTCACAGTGACTGCAATAGTCCGGTCAAATCGTACACCAACAATTCTCTCTTCAGGTAAGACTTGTTCAGATTGCTAAGTAAAGGTATTTTTGAAAAACAACTTTAGTTTGTTTGTTAAAGAGAAGGATATAAAACCCATGACTTCAACTGTGAAAGTAAATTTTAGTATACTTTTAAAAAACTTATTATGGAAAGAATGTACTTCAAATATTCTTTAAAAGAATATACTTATGTGCAAACTGAATGTAATGTTTTTGGACACTTAACTGCATGTCAATTGCAGTTAAATGAAAATTTACTATAGTGTAAATTTATAATAGTAAATGCAGTTAGCTTAACTTTAGAGTGCTTTTTTTGACCCACCCAAGTACATATTTATAAATAATTTCATAAATACTTTGAAATATGTTTAAGTGTACTGCTGAGTAAAGGTATTGACAAAGCATTTATGGTCAACGAAAATATACTTTAATGTCATTTTTTCTATTGAAAATGTATTCAGTGTTGTTTTCTGGTCTGACCTACAAAAATTGCTTGTAAATTTCTTGTTGCGCTAAATTTTTGCCAAATATTGGATTCAGCCTTTTTATAATTTTTTTTTAAATTTCAAATAGCACATGTTTTGTATGTATTTTTTTTTACTCTGTTTCGAGCATATGCACCCCTGTTTTTGAGTGAACGTTGGCAAAATTATTTACAAATAATGATTTTTTTCACTTAAAAACTGCATAAGCTCAGAAATCAATTACAAAAAGAAATACAAAACCTGTGCAAATTGAAAGAAAACAAGGTGACATAATAATTTAATCAAACATTTGGTGAAATGTGGCATAATGAGAGATCATTTTTGACTGGGAACACCAAATTAGGTAAAGGATTTTCAGCACAGCATAAGGGTTAAATGAAGGGTTAAATGAAGGTTTAAAAAAAGGTTGAAGTTTAGTCCATTTAAAATACACAGTATTAAATTGAAATGCAATGTTATGTCCACACGTCTATAGGAGTGCACTTATTTAAAGCATTTCAAAAGATTATTAAATCATAATGATTTAAAATGTACTTTAAAGTGAAAATTTTAATTTGACATAACTACAGTTTAAAACATTGTACTTAAATGTGTTTAAAAACCTAGTCATGAAAGTATACTCTCATTATCTCTCATTATTGTGGTTTATTGATCTTTATTAACATCAGTAACATCATTGTTAACATTATGTCCTGAAAAAAAAAACTATATCATAGTCATCTCTTTAGAGTATCTGGGTACTCTGACTGCCATGTTTTATGAAGCTGTCTTATATTTAGTCCTCCCTTGGCCAGCATTGCCCTATTTTTGTTTTTTCGTCAAACGTGATCACATCAAAATCAACAGGAAAGTTGAACAAATCCTCAAAATCCTAACATTTTTAATTCTCGCAGCTTAGTTTTCCAGACAAAACATTGCGTTCTTGAGCTTTTTCTTGTGGTCTTCCTCCGTTGTAATGAGACTGGGAGATTCTCCAGATTTCCTTGTTAAATCTGCCGTTCACCTGGGAGCCACCGTCCTCATTAAATAGTGTTCCAATTGCCTCTCAGAGCTTTCTGTGATCAAGCGTATCAGAGACACATGAGTGACTGGGTCCTCCATCCGGAATGTTCCCAGGCTTCGGTGCTGTTCAGGTGTCTGCACATCTCTCTAGCATAAAAAGAAACATCTGTCTGAAGACAGTTAAGGAATCTTTAAAGAACTGGCTTTGAGACAGGACACGGACCTTCTTTTCAAACATGGTGACTGGTTGGGCAGTATCAAAGGATTCATCAGGTGGCAAGAAAGAAAATATTGTCTTGGAAAAATGTTTTATCAGTAGGATGGTCTGAGGTGAAATGGTAAGTTGGGTAGAGGAATAAATGAAAATGACATTTACTCACCTTCATGTTATTTCATGTATATTCACATGATGGTTCTTGTCAATACAATGTGAAAACCAACAATGAAAAACGGGCCATAAAAGTAAGATGTTAAAGGGTTAGTTCACCCAAAAATGAAAATTAGCCCATAAATTACTCACCCTCAAGTCATCCTAGGTGTATATGACTTTCTTCTTTCAGACGAATCCAGTCGGAGTTATATAAAAAATTGTCTTTGATCTTTCAAGCGGTTTAATGCCACTCAGCGGGTGTTGCATGCATCAGTCCAAAAGAAGTGAAATAAAAAGAGCCCATCCATAAAAAAAAGTGTCTCACACAGCTCCGGGGGGTGAACAAAGGCCTCCTGTAGCGAATCAATGCGTTTTTGTAAGAAAAATATCCATATTCAAAACGTAATAATCACTTTAATGTAGCTTGCGCTCACTGTTGTACACTGGAAGCAGTTCCGGGGGAATGACGTATGGGGTCAGCGTTGCGCATGCGCCGGTGAGTCTCGTGAAAACCAACGTTTGTTTACAGGATCAAAGGAAGCAAAGTTTCCTTACTTTCCTTACTAGTCTTCTCTTGGCTTATATCGAAATCCTCCGACATTCTTCTTTACAAATCCTCGTTTTGTACTTCTAATAAGTGACCGTTGCTTTGTTTTGATCTCTCCCCTGAGCTTCCACGTTCATCATTTCTGAGCGGCACATGCGCAAAGCCGACCTCATACGTCATCAGCACTGAGCTGCTTCCGTGTACAACTGTTGGCGCAAGCTACATTAAAGTGATTATTACGTTTTGAATATGGATATTTTTCTTACAAAAACGCATCGATTCGCTACAGGAGGCTTTTGTTCACCCCCCGGAGCCGTGTGAGACACTTTTTTTTATGGATGGGTGCTTTTTATTTAACTTCTTTTGGACTGATGCATGCAACACCCGCTGAGTGGTATTAAACAGCTTGAAAGATCAAAGACAATTTTTAATATAACTCCGACTGGATTCGTCTGAAAGAAGAAAGTCATATACACCTAGGATGACTTGAGGGTGAGTAATTTATGGGCTAATTTAAATTTTTGGGTGAACTAACCCTTTAACTTAAGTCAGTGAGAACTGAATCATTGAATGAATCCTTCTTTTCAATGAATTGTTCACAAATCGAACTGATTCTCAAATCGAAATTCAACTCACTGACTTGATCAAATCTCAGCAGGTGTCACATTAAAAGCTCATAAGAAGGGCAGATTATCAGTAAATAATTTTAAAATTCTGTCTGTTTGTCATGCATTGTCAGATCATATGGCTTCAGAAATTTTGGAGCATAGAATACAAATAGTTGGACTACTTTTAGGTTTTTTTATTTTTTGTTTTGTTTTGTTTTATCATACGTCATATTTTCAGACATGGTGAACTTTGCACTGCCATTAAATGAAAATGATCTGTGCGAAGTGTTTTTTTTTCTACAGACATTGTTGTTATTAAAATTTTAAATGACATGAGGGTGAATAATCAGTGACAAAAGTTTCATTTTGGTAGGAAATATTGCTTTAAGTAATTTACATTCATATTTAGTGCATTGTGCAGCATAAAATATTCTCTAGCATCACTGAAATTGAATGGTTGTTTATGAGCTTTGTTGTTTACAAAATAGCTAAATCTCAGTGATGGTGGATTAGATGGAAATAGAGCTGTGTATCTGAACTTCTGTCAAGAGTTTTTTGTTGATAGTTGTTAGTCATGTCAGGATTAGCCATTATGAATTATGAATGTCTGTATAATGCTATCTGCTGCTGCACTTTACATCAGTAAAACTGAATGACAATGTTAAATCCTGCCTCATGTTCTGCTCCACCCGTAGCTGGTCCTATAAGTGAACAATTCGTTTAGGAAAAATGTTCAGGTCTATGAGACAACGAGGATTAAAAGAGAGAGAATGAATACTGTAAATGTATTAGTGTCTGTACGCTCTGATATCAATTCATTTGACTTAGTGGAAGAAAAAAAAATTATAGGCTTGTATTTGAAATGTACTCCTTTCTGTGCCTAATAGTCTTCTGTTTCGTTTCAGAGATGGATAAAATCCAGGCAATTGTACAATCACTTATATTCAAATCTACTTTTTTTGGTCTACTAATTTAAAGCTGCTACATTTGTTCTACAGACATATGCTAAATGTGTCATGGGAGCATAAGGACCTCTCCTTCAATGTTGATGGCTATCTCACTAATCCTTCCATGGTGATCGTTGCTTTGGATCGAGAGAGACACTGGGACAAGGTAAGTCTCATAAGATGTAACAATAAAAGTAATAATGTCAAAACATTTCAGAGGTCATCACACAAAGCTAGAAGAGGGAACACACAACTGGAGATACAGTCTATCTGGTTGCAGCCTCTAAAGTGTTTTATCGCTTCCTTATAGAAGTAAGTGGTTGGAAGTCATATCTTATCTATTTCTGGAACACCTATTAGAGTAATACTACAATATAATGACTCCGTCATTTCAATTCACTTCATTGTACTGTAGTGGCATTGGGTGATTATGGATTATGAGATTATGGATTTGAATGCCAGGGAATACACAACTTTTTGGGGATGCACAACTGTTTTCAACATTGATAGTAATAAGAAACGGTTCTTGAACACCAAATTAACTTGTTAGAATGCTAGAAACAGTTTTTTGCTGCTTTTGGTGTTTGTGAAATCTGTGATAAATTGTTTTCAGGATTCTTTGACTTTCAGGAAACTTTTTTTTTTTCTTTTAAAATCTTTCTTACCCCAACTTTTTGAATGGTAGCGTATCACAGTTTCCACAAAAAGATATGTTGGACCATTTCAATAACTTTTAGCTTTTCACATTAATACAACAAGAGTCATAAAAGCCAGCTTCACAGGCTCCTCCAACGCTAGAGATTTATTACCATCCACACCAGGTCATGATGCAATTACACTTGGCTCTCTGAAACAGTCCTTTCTTCCTCACATGGCCAGCCCTCCAGCACTTTGGCCTCTGTGATAGGGACATGTGTAGGCCGTCTGGCAATGTGTGAACACCACCTGACTACAAAAAGAGATTAGGGGAATAAATAGAGATCAAACTGACATCCAAATTTACATCCGGTCATCACACCCTCCTCTAGATGGATTAGAGGATACGGATATTAGAGGATGTGTGTTGTCGCCTAAGACTGAAATAAATATTACTGGGTAATGCACTCAGATTCTCAGTCCTGTTAATGGCAAGTAGATGGCAACTAAATTTAAGGTTTTAAATTTAAAATAAAAAATAGGTTTTAAAAAGTTATGAGCCTTTTCTGTAAATTTCAGTGGCTGGATACCTTTTTCCTTTTGCATCTCCATCACCTGCTTTCAGATGGAGAGGCATTTACTACACAGAGCCGTAGTTCACTGACAATTAGACAAGATCGCGTTCATAATCGCAGATGAATCACATTCGATTATGAATGCGATATTGCCTAGCTTGTCAGTGAATTACGGCTCTGTGTATTAAATGCCGCTCCATCTGAAAGCAGGTGATGGCGATTTACTACTAATCACGGAACCGGCTTTACTGATGAGATGCGCATGACAATTGCATGCGATTAATTGCAGAGCCCTAATACGTAGCATTTCAACAATCCAGTTTAACCAGCTACTGAATGTGCTACAATTTAAATTAATTCTTTAAAATAGGTAACTGTCATTCTTTTCATTGCTTTTTGCACAGCATAATTAACATTGCACTGTTAGCGGAATTATGTGGGAATTTAATTTAAAAGAGATGTTTGAGTACATTTTCTATTGATCACGACAGCAGTAATTCATCAAATGACGAGCAAATGATGGAGAAAACTGTTAGAACTGGGCATATATCCAGCCACGTGTTGTCGACAAGTGAATTTTGCACTTTTACAGAGATGAATCAGGCATCTGAATCGCAGTGGTGGAGCGATACTGTGCAGTTCCAGCATAGTATGCCAGAGTCTGCTCTATTTAGTGTGACATACAAATAGCTTTCAGCACAGATTTTGCAGGTGTGTTTGCTAATTTGCATAATTCCTTTAGTAAATTAAGCACTAAAACAATGCAGACAGCGTGTGCAAATAAACTATGCAATTAGTGAGAGTAATTTGTACTCCTGTTAAGAAGTGCACAACAAGTAGAGTTACATGTGAAGGAGCTGCAAATATCATTATTTTTGAAAAGTTTTGATAGATTTCTTTTCTTTGAAAGTCTTTAGTTTTAACTCCCTCCTCTGGCCTTCATGGCTCACCTGACCCCCGTCTGTGTGACATAACAGTTAATCTATATCTGGTCACCTTGCTCTGTAGCCCCTCTCACGCTCGCATTGACACTCTCTGCACCGCCTCACTTTCCCATGCTGTGCACACCCTGTTCATGTTGTGTGCTGAAGTCATTAGCGAGATGAATCATTGCTTCCCTATTTTAAAGTACAGGCATACTGACAGCACCGAGACGGTGTTTCTCTGCTGGTACCATGATAGTATCTCCAAGAAAGACAAAGCCCAAATGACGCAGATCAATCTGTGATAAACACTGGTTTTAAAAATGGCCTCATACATCTGTGTAATTAGTGCTTGATTTTGAAGGAAATGTTAGAAAATTGGTTTCACTTAAGAACCAGATGCTTTGCATTGGACATCAAGTGGCAGCCTGAAACAGTATGAAGCTTATTTGTTGTCCAAAAGTAAACAAAAACAATGTCATCTTCTGAGAATTCCGCCTAATTTGCCTTGCTTCTGACAAATATGTAGTGCTTGATGAGACGCTCTGCCTTTGACGACAACAACCAAGCATACGGGAAGTATTGTAATGCTATTTTCTACTTGTATTAAAAGGTAATAAGGTAATTTTGCTGTTTAACTACACACAATTAAATGGGTAGTTGCACTTTATATTTGCACTGAATGATTTTTACTTCCCACTGTCCTCTAATCATTGGCGATTGGCAAAAATATATCATATAATTTTTTCAGGAAGGAGCATGATCAACAATCTTATCAGTTATTTTTCATGTTGTTTTTTTATGACTATTTTGCAAGTTACTGAGCAGTAAAAGCTAGTAGGCCATATATCTAATATAAGTAAAAAGTTCTCCAACTTATTTAAAGGGGTCATATGATGCCCATTTTCCACAAGTTGATATGATTCTTTAGGGTCTTAATGACAATTCTGTAACATAGTTTGGTTAAAATTTCTCAATGGTAGTGTAAAAACACCTTTTTTTACCCTGTCAAAAACAGCTCTTTTCAGATCACAGTTCAAACAACTTGTAAAAGTGCATGTAATATCCTATGACCCCTTTAAGACAAGTAAACAGTCAGAACGAAGACTCAAATGACAAGCAATAGAATAAATAAATACAACAGATACAACAGATAGTTATTTAAAGATACAAATTAAATAAACTTAACAGTCTGTCTAACAGTATTCAGGTAAGACATATTACAGAAATTAAAGTAATCAAATGTAAAATACACTGCATGAATAAAATATACATAGATTTTTTTTTCAAGCTAAATGTACTTTGTGTGTTCGCGTTCCAGGATTCAATTCTCTTTCATGGTTTATTGTGCTTTGAATAACTCATTTTAATATCAACCACATCACACTCTTTGCTTTCTGATTCATCCATGTTTCTTTATTGCTGTAATGCGTTAAGAACTTTACAAAGTCCTGTCAGTTGAGTATATTTACATATGGTCATAAATAGCACACATTTGGTCACAATCTCTATGATTCATTTGAAAAGTAGATAGTGGACTTCTTGACAATTCAAAATCGCCCACCCCTACTTTCTGTAACCCTTTCAGAACAGACCTGAAATCCATTTTTGGTTGCAATTCACTAGTTGAGAATCACTGTAATAGACAAAATGCTACTGTAGTTTAAGTACATGATGACTTGTATTGGCTTTTGAAAAACTCTTCTGAAGCATCCCAGGTATGCTAGGCAGCTGTAAAACGAAATAGGTTATTCCAAATAACAGATATCTACTCTGACCGAAAGCTGGTTTGTGCCTCAGAACAAGAATAGAATACCCTGCTATTACAGCCATTATATTCTGCTGAATTACTATACCTCTCACTTTCACCATACAGCCTATTTCAGTCGCTGGTCTGAAATTGCTCACTAAAACAGCCAGAAATAACTGCTGGGCTTTGTCTGGATTCATTCTTTACATATAAAGAACAGTTTCAGAACACCCTCATTTAATGTGCAAATAAGATGTTCTTTAGTGCTCTTGTCGTCATTTGCTAATGATCAGATATGATGTGCCACCAGGCTGTCAAGATATTCACACCTGGAGTCCGGAGATTGAATCTGTTTGTTCTGCTGAAGTTTATGAATGATTCTTCAATAAATCCCTGTTGCAGAGGCTTATCACGCTCACTTCCCCTCCCAGATAATACCATAACCAAACATGGATTACAATTCCCAATCCGAAAAGCCTCCGGTGCATTTGGGAAAGGCTGTCAAACAGCTGCTGCACAATTAGTGGCAACACTTTCCTGTCTTTTGTAGTAAAAGGATATGCAAAAGTAGACTCTTTTTAGCTATTTTATGTTTTTTCTAAAAAAAAAATGATGCAAAAAATGGTTTGGGAATACAGATGATAAACTGCTCAAATAGAGCAGCTGGGGTCACATATTCAAGAAGTAGTCGGGTAATAACAACACCAGCTAATGGACTGCAGCTTTTAGATTTTAGGAGTGTATGTTCTTCTCTCATGTACCTTTAAAACAGGGTCCCAGGGATGGACAGTAGATTTGTACTTCTCCCCCTTGGTATTTGTGTGTTACGCATGGATTCTTGGGAAATTTTAGAAGAGGCAGCTCTGAAACTAGCTCTCCATAGTCCCTTTTAAGCTGAGCTGGACCAGTGGGTTGAGTTCTCTCTGGATAATAGGGCTTTTCCACAGTCTACAAACAGCTCTGTAAAGATTCCCCATGAGCCTCTGAGCCCTGGGAGATTTACGGCTTTGTGCAACACCTTCATTGCTGGAGTAGTATAAATTCTAACCATTATTACAAATTCATTCCAAGTTCAGAGGAAAAATCTAAAAAAAATAAGAGCAATAAAAGAGAATAACATTAGAAAGCTTTGGGATATTTGATTATACATCATGCTGATGGTGCGATATTAAACAGCAGATGAAAAATACAACATACCCGTGAGGAAGACACCATGAATTGGACTTTGGAACATTTTCCTTTATCACTCCTGTCATTTGCTTGAATGTTTGTGTGTGGTTTTGCCTATCAAAAGGTCCTTGCGTTGAAGAAATAGAAAACTGGAATGAACAACACTGTGTCTTAACCCTATAAAACATACTGAATAAATTGATATGCAAATGTCTTCTAAATTATCAACATGATCAAAACCTGAAAGAATTTCCATGCCTTCTGTTGTCAGATTGATAGTTTAATGATTTTTTTCAGCAAGTAAAACATTCACTTTCTGGTCGTGTTACATGTGTCCACAATAAAAACTACAGAACTTTGATCATAAAACTAAGCATTTAAATATCTTATAAGACATATTCTTGGGAGTTATAGAGTGAAATTTATATTTTTATGCATTTTATGCAAGTAGTCTGATATGCTGTTATAAATATCTTATTGATTTACATTATAAGCTCAGAATTTCATCTTACTTTTTGGATATATAAACATCAGCAACTTCACCAAATTGCATATTTTTGCTCAATTTTGGCATCGAAATGAAATGTTTTCCTCCTCACATAGGAGCTCCATATTCTCCTATATCATAGGAGGCCTGATGTATAAAATATGATATTCAACAGGTTAAAAAAAAAACAATTTGTCTAAAGGTTCAATAAACTTTTCCATTAAAAAAGGCACATATGTCATGCTTTACAGGGTTAATGAAAATCTAAAAATGCAGGTTAGCTTTAGGTTTAAGGGATAGAAAATATAATTTGCTCAGTATAAAAACAATAGAAGTCAATGAAGAACACCTTTGCTTTGTTTGCAGTCCGTAACGTTTAATCCACATTTAAACCTGTTCTGAAACCCTCCACAGGTAGGAAGCTACGAGGGAGGGATTTTGCAGATGCGATACCCTGTATGGCCCCGTTACGGCAGCTTCCTGGAGCCCGTGTCTGACAACCGCCACCTGACTGTGGCCACATTGGAGGAGAGGCCTTTTGTCATCGTGGAGAGTGTTGATCCTGCCACGGGCACTTGTGTGCGCAATACTGTGCCGTGTCGTCGGCAGTCCAACAGGACTGAAAGGTACATCTGTGAATGTGACTTCAAAAGGTCAATATCTGTGGCTCTTGTTTACGAAGATATTCCCCAAATGGGCTTGTTTATGAGACCAATATCTAAAAAATTGAATAAAGAGCACAGGCTCCACATTAGATCATCCTCTCTCTCTGCTGCACATGCAAACGTACTAATTTGATTGCATTGATCCTAAAAAATGAATGGTCTCTTATTAAGGAGAGCAATAAAGAGTGTCCGCTGGATGGATTGTCCTCACTACAGTGATAATAGGTTCCCATTAATAATTATAAAATAAGAGACAGCAACCTTTTCACATTTTAGAATGAGTCACCGTACAAACACAAACAAGAACATCTGAAACCGAGTTTTACTAAACTTTAGGTAAAAACATCTAACAGTATTATATGATATTGGCCAGCTTTTGATATTAGAAAACAAGAAAAAACTGAGTCTGCTAATTAAAAAGAAAAGTCTAATAAAGCCTACACAAAATTGGCAAACATTCCCATTTAGCAATATGCTGTGAGAGTCACTTAGCATATGCAACTTGTTACAGTCCAGCAAGCTTATTACACACTATTGTGGTGTTGCATCTGTGAGATTGTAGAGAGTTCAAGATGCAGCTAATTACCTTACTGGAGTATTATTTAAAGGTGTAGTTCACCCAAAAAAAAGAAATTATTTGCATGACTTGCATGAAGAATCTTAATGCAGGTCTTATTCATACATATTGCTCCAAAAATTATGAAAAAGCTTGAGAAATGGTATGATAGGATCATTGAGTCAATAAGTTCAGGTAAAAGGGTAATTTGAGTCATTTGAATATATATATATATATATATTTTGAGACTGTATTTATCTACTATTATGTATGGAAGCATATTTCCGCCACTGAATAAAAATTAAAAAGGGTAATTGTGACTTTTTTTCTCACCATTCTGACTTTGTTTCTTGCAATTCTGAGTAATATCTCACAATTCAGACTTTTTTTTCTCATAATTGTGAGTTTACAGAGATATAAGTGCAAAATTGCAAGATATAAACAATTTATAGTTATTTCTCGCAATGCTTTTTTTTTCTTGAAATTATGATTTGATCTCACAATTCTTTTTTCTCACAATTATGAGTTTATGTCCAACAATTCAGACTTTTTTCTTGCCATTCTTACATATAAAGTCAGAATTGTAACAAAAAAATAATTGTGACAAAATCAGAATTGCAAGAAAAAAGAATTGAGAGATATAAGCTCAGAATTGTGAGACATAAACTCAAAAGTCTGTGAACTATGAGATATGAATTCACAATTCTGTTTATAGCTCACAATTCTGTAAGAAAAAATGAGATACAAACTGAGAATTGTGGTGGGAAAAGTCTAAATTGTGAGAGGGAAACGCAGTTGTGAAGAAAAAGTCTGAATTGTGAGATAAAAAGTCACAGTTACCTTTTTATTTTTTATTCCATGGCAGAAATAAGCTTTCATGGTAACTCTTTAGTATAGGGACCAATTCTCACTATTATGCTTATTAGCATGCCTATTATTAACATATTGGCTATTTATTAATACCTATAAAGCACATATTCTGCATGACCATATTCTACATCCCTAATCCAACCCAATACCTAAATTTAACAACTACCTTACTAACTATTAATAAGCAGCAATTTAGGAGTTTATTGAGGCAAAAGTTGTAGTTAATGGTTTGTTAATAGCGAGAATTGGACCTTAAAATAAAGTGTGACCGCTTCGATAAATATGTGCTTAAGGATATGAGTAAACATAATTATGTAGACTATTTACTGTTCTTCTCAGGTCAGTAAGAGAGAAAATCCCTCAGACATACAGAACTGTAGATGGCATTTTACCTCTGTATATGAAGTCTTCTGATGTTCTTCATATCCTCTTATGGCAGCACAGATCCTTTCCTCTTTCCGTATTCATGGCTGTATTATTTCAGTTATAATTAATTAGTCTTTCTGTCAGTAATCTTTCTTTCAGATGTGAGTCACACCATATGTTTTGCCCTAGAAACATACGCTTTGATCTTCTTCACCAAATGTTCAATAGACAGACATGAGACCTAACCTTTTTAACTGTGGTTCCTGATTGGGTTAAAGGAATAGTCACCTAAAAAAGTTACACGGAACATGGACTGAAGTGTTCAAGCTTTAAAAAGGACACTAATAAAAATGTGCAATTTTTGACTCAAATTCTCACATAAAGCTCTCATTTAGCTTCAGAATGCTTGGATCAATTTGTAATTTTTATGTAAACTATTCATTTAACTTTATTGTTTTGAAAAAATTGTAATGGTTACATTTATTTCTTTATGTGCAGTGTAACAGGACACACTGAGCCTTACACCAAACTCTGCTGCAAAGGTTTCTGCATAGACATCCTAAAGAAGCTCTCACGCACCATCAAGTTTTCATACGACCTTTATCTGGTCACCAATGGGAAACATGGCAAGATGGTCCGTGGCGTCTGGAATGGGATGATTGGAGAGGTATGAAATGGCACATTTTCTCTCTCTCTTTTTCTCACATAAACGCACTCACACTTCAAACATGTCAACAGTTCAGAGCTCATGGGAAATGAGCTAAATTAACATCTGATAATACGAAAATAAAACCGTTTACAGTGTGATACGAAAAAATTAATCAGCTTCCTATGACAGTGTCGACACGCTTTTCCTAGCATTACTCACACCCCGTTTTCTTTCTGTATTTAACAGATCTCCTGAACCCTCCAATTATTGCAGCTAAAGTTTTTAAGGGCATTCATGGAGCATAACTGGCTTTAAAATGCGATCTTGACACATTTCATCCTGTGACCTCCTGCTGCGTGTAGTGTCACTTAATCCGGTGGTTAAGTGTTTTCCACAGCTGCTGATCACTTCATCGGTTCTCATCACCTGCATCTGCTCACACGCTGATGAGTTTAAAGATAGCAAACCCTCGCCCCACATACAAGGCTTAAATGCTTTTCACACCGCAAGAAAAATAGATAATTAAATGAGATAAATAATGATTATATAATAGCTAGATAGTAATTCCGGACTGACGTGAGTGTGATACAAGGAATTTTCGTTTATGAGGCTAATTGCGGGTGACGGCAAAACAAATCTGTCAAGACTGATTTGCGATGTTACAAGTTGTGTGATGACAGGGCTAGTGGTTCGTGTCCATTTCTATACCTTGAAGAAATTGGAATCTGGAAACCAGTGGCTATAATAGCAATAGTCTTAATTGTGATATCCACAAAAACGTTCAGTAGCATGTCACGTTTATAGTGGGTATTGACATGGCTTACACTGATGTACAAGACACCCGCACAATGCAGAGGTCGTCTTCACTCTGTTTTGAGCTAGCTTACTTACATATATATATTATACATACATACATATGTATGTAATTGTAAAATACAATTTAATTAAAATATTTTCTATTTTATTATATTGTAACATTTAATTTATTCTTGTGATGGCAGCAGCCATTACTCCAGTCTTCAGTGTCACATGGTCCTTCTAATAAAATCAAATGGGCTGATTTGGTGCTCAACATTTCTTATTAATATCAATGTTAAAAAGTTGTGCTGCTTAATATTTTTACCAATAGAAAGTTCAAAAGAACAGCATTCATTTGAAATATAAATGTTTCAGTTGAAATAATATATATATATACTTTTGCTTCAATAAACTGCTAATTACTGTGTATTAATAGTTTGCAAGGTAGTAGTTAAATTTAGGTATTTAGTAGGATTAAGTGATGTAGAAAATGGTCAAAGAGAATAAGGCATTAATATGTGCTTTTTAAGTACTAATAAACATATAAATATCCTAGTAATATGGATGCTGATAAGCAACTAGTTATTAGTGAGAACTGGTCCCCAAACTAAAGGGTACCAATTTTTGCAATAATGTGAAAGTCTTTACTGTCACTTTTCATCAGTTTAATGGATACTTGTTGAATAAAAGTGTTACTTCAAAAATAAATAAATTATTTACTGACCCCAAACATTTGAAATTTGTACTTACTCCAAATTGGCTAATATATAGTACATTGTTTTTACTTGGCTTTATTGCTGCATGGAGACATTCTTTATGCCTACAATATAGCATGTGAAAAGCATCACGTCAAATGAGTATTATGTCTGAATATGCAGTATGCAAAACATACCCATGTGACCTACTCTTTCCACTGAAATTCTGAAGTGCTCATTCACAGGACACTATACTATCCCATAAGGCCACAGCAGAGTCATTGTAATTGTAAATGGCAGATAGTATGTCCGAATTGTATTCATACTACTAGAAAGTACTTTATTAATGGTCTAACGTAAGTAAAGTAAGTTATCTGTTGAACATAGAACTTAATTTTGAATGTGTCACTCCCAAATGCTTGATATCACCATGTGTGGGAGGGTCCCGTCTCATGATTCATGGGGACCTCCATTATTTCGGTATGCGACTGATGACTGCCTAAAGTTTTCTCCTTGTCCAAGGTCTTCTACAAGCGTGCAGATATGGCAATTGGCTCTCTTACCATCAATGAGGAGCGATCAGAGATTGTTGACTTTTCAGTGCCGTTCGTGGAGACTGGGATTAGTGTTATGGTGGCCAGAAGCAATGGAACAGTCTCACCTTCTGCCTTCCTGGGTGAGAAGTCATCATTAGCCGTCTTTTTCCAAGGCCTCCCTCACATAGACTATGAGAGATGCTTGCAGGCAGTGTTAAATATTTCCTACCAGTGGTGGCTTGGATTAGAATGTGATTAGATTACAATTTTTAATTAAATCGAGAATAAATCCTAGACAGGGAAAACATTTTCTACTGAATCGCAAACTCTGCACACAAAGAAAGCCATTTTGACTCTGCTCAACTGCTAATTTGTTCATTATTTATGCTAACAGCACAGCATTTACATCACAAACAAAAACAAGTTATAAATTATGTACAAGATCTTAGTCAGTTAATCAGATCATTTTTGTATTTTTATGAGGACTTCTGTGAGCCGAAACGTGTCTTTCTCTCTGTCTTGCAGAGCCTTACAGTCCAGCCGTGTGGGTTATGATGTTCGTAATGTGCCTGACTGTTGTGGCAGTCACCGTGTTTGTGTTTGAGTACTTCAGCCCTGTTGGGTACAACCGGAGCCTTGTCTGTGCCAAAGGTCAGCCTTGGTTTTTCAAACAGTATTCTCTCTATCAGGCACAAAACTCTGGGAGAGGAAGAATAGTTGTGGAAGCAGCCTAATCAATCCATATAAACCGAGCTGACAGGGTGTGTACTTGTCTCCTAGTGTAAAAGGTCATTTTTCGGAGGTTTAATTAACGTTTGTCGCTTTGCTAATTTGACTTTGATTGATTGCTTGGCTTTTCTGTGGCTGTGTGTGAGACACAAGAACCACATTAAGAACTGATGTCAAGGTAGAACTAGAAAAGAAAGCTTGCCCATGTGGACTGATCTGTGAATAATTCAATCGAAAGAGACAGAACATCTGTTATATAGGATGCACAGATGTGTATTATATAAATCATTCTAATATGCTGATTTGGTGCTCAAGAAATATTTCTTATAATCAATGTTGAAAAAAAAAAGTTGTGTTGCTTTTTTGTAGAATCTGTGATTTTTATTTAGATTTTTTTGATGAATAGAAAGCTCAGAAGAACAGCATTTATTTGAAATAGAAATATTTTGTTCTGTCACCTTTGTTTATTGTATTCTTGCTGAATAAAAGCATTCATTTCTTTCCAAAAATTTCCAAAAAAAGCTATTGATTATATATAATTTAATCATATTTATATAAATTATTATAATTGAATTTTATTTTATATATATACTATGAATGTATCTCTCTTACAGCCCCTGGGGGTCCAACCTTCACCATTGGGAAGTCTGTCTGGCTCCTGTGGGGAATCGTCTTCAATAACTCTGTTCCTATTGAAAACCCCAAAGGCACGACCAGCAAAATTATGGTCCTGGTCTGGGCTTTTTTTGCTGTCATCTTCCTCGCCAGCTACACAGCCAATTTAGCTGCCTTCATGATCCAAGAGCAGTACATTGACACTGTGTCTGGACTTAGTGACAAAAAGGTACATTGTATGTAATTGTAAATGAGCTGTTAGACAGTGGTACTGTATTTGAATACCTTTTGATATGTTTTGTTTGTGTAATAGCATATATGGCAAAAATGTTCTAATAGAAAATTGAAAGGAAAGGCCTTGCCACACCCTATATGCATATTTGGTATGTTAAATATTCAATAAGATTTTAAAATGAAACCAAACCTGAAATGTCACTGTGATAATTTGTCAACTTTTTATTCAGGGGCTAAGCAATTTTTAAATTGTTCATAAGCCAAGCAATTCATTTTTGTCAAAGGATAAAGAAAATTCAGCATCAAGACAAAAGCTTGATTGAAATCAGTAAATTGGCACCTTTCAATATTCCCTGTCACTTGCTGTCTCAAAAATAATCTCAGGATCACTAGCATTTTTGTTCATTGTTTTTCATAAGAAAACACTATAAAGCAATAGAAATCCATAAAAATTATGCAGCTGAGAAACGAATTGGACCTCAGGGAAGAACAACAACAGATTAATCGTTCACAGATTTATAAAAAAATAAAATAAAAAAAAACACAAACACAAGTGCTTGGAGCCATTTTATTAGATGCTAGAAGCAACATAATATAGTAGTGTTATATAATTAAAATTGACTCCTAAATCTCATGCATTGTGACCAAGAATTTGAGAGGCTTTGGAGGAAAACTAATGGTACTGTTTAATATGATCACTCAGAGCAAATTACTTTATCCCTTATTCATTTGCATTAATGTGAATAAGCTGTTGCCAAATGTCCAAATGCATGAATCAGTGAGGAGAAGAAAAACAAACAGTACATTTGATATCCTTTTCCAAGGTCACTACCACCCAGGCAGTTGGTAATTCTGTGTAAAGTCCATGTAATCTGTGTTGATCTACACTATTAAGGTTAAGCCGCAACCTGCCTCAGCTAAACAATTGAATTGCCATCTACTATTCCTTTTTGTTTCAGTTTCAAAAACCCCAGGAACATTATCCTCCTTTTCGCTTCGGGACCGTCCCAAACGGCAGCACAGAGAGGAACATTCGGAGCAATTACCCTGACATGCACACCCACATGATAAAATACAACCAGAAGGGAGTGGAGGAAGCTCTCAACAGCCTTAAGACAGGGTGGGCTTCAGCAATAACACTTTATGTGTGTGTGGTTGTGTGAAAGAGCTCTGATTGCTAAAAAAAACCTATGTACTATGTTGGTACCATTTACATGGTATTTCAAGGTGCTTCAAAGAAAATTAGATTTATTCCATTGGTCATTATAGGCATCTAGAAGCAATTTTGTTAGATATTTTCGAGTTGCAGAGATCTAAGGGTCAGTGAAACACTGGTGGGAAACAGCCAAGCATAAATAATGTAATATTCACCATTTGTCAAGGAAAAAAGGAGTATAAATTAACAAGCGCTAATTATTTACTTGACATAATTACGTGTAATTATTAAGCCATTTGCCTTGGGCTCATTTCTGTCCTCTGTGTAGGAAGTTGGACGCCTTCATATATGATGCAGCAGTTCTTAATTATATGGCTGGCAAGGACGAGGGCTGCAAGCTGGTCACCATTGGTAGTGGGAAGGTGTTTGCTACCACAGGCTACGGCATTGCTCTGCAGAAGGACTCCCGCTGGAAGCGCCCCATAGACCTGGCCCTCCTCCAGTTCCTGGGAGATGGTAAATTGCACTTGGGGGACCGGAACTGGTCCACACTTAATATCCTCTGCCCCAGCATGGAAGCTATCACATTCCCCTCTTACTGTAAAAAACTCAAGGTGCTGAGAATTGAGAGGTTACGTATGAAATATAAGAGGTTATGTATGAAATGCAAGCTACAGGCATATTAAAGACTCCATTAAACAGTAGAAACTAAATCCTAGTGCCTTGCTGCCTAGTGCATTTTTTTTATTTTCTATTTTACTTTTTTAAATTGTATTTATTTATTTATTATTTTTTTCATGTCTGTCACAATGTGTTCTGGAATGGCCTACACCTTGAAGGGTACATCCAATATTGCTCAAACTAGGTAGCAGCCTTCACATTGTCTAGGCAGATGTCTAGGCAGGCAGGTAGGCTTACTAGGTTTTGGAGCAGAGCACATATGTGGTTCTTATAGTATCCACTTGTTTCTGTTGAGTAGTCTTTGACTGCCGCTGTTTCTGGCATTGTTCCTGACCCCGTTTTCTTTCATGCAGGGGACACACAGAGACTGGAGACAGTATGGCTGTCTGGAATATGCCAGAATGAGAAAAACGAGGTCATGAGCTCCAAACTAGACATAGACAACATGGCAGGTGTTTTCTACATGTTGCTCGTGGCTATGGGTCTCAGCCTGCTGGTCTTTGCTTGGGAACATTTACTTTACTGGAAACTGAGGCACTCTGTCCGCAAGTCTGATCATTTAGACTTCCTGCTGGCCATTAGCAGGGTAAGACTGCATTGCTAATTTAAATTTCAATACAGATTTTTTTATTTATTTATTTATTTTACATTTAGAGAATGCAATGATAATTAGGGCTGGGTATCGATAGAGATTCCAACTCTATTCCATTCCAGTTTTGATTTGGCTTGATTCTAGTTAATTTGAGTATATTTCAATATGTCCATTTTGCTTACACTACTATTCAAAAGGGTTTTTTTTTTTTTACAGTATTTTAAAAAGACATTTTATTCTGCAAGGAAGCAATAAAGACATTAAAGACAATAAAGACATTTATAATGTTACAAAAGATTTCTATTTCAAATAAATGCTGTTCTTTTGAAGTTTCATTTCATCAAACATCGATAATAATACAAAAAAATGTTTCTTGAATATGAATGTTTTCTGATAGAAAGAAATTCTCTCTCTGCAAATGCTGCAAATTATGTAGGGCAGTGTTTCAGATTGATTCAAACTCGTCTTTTTGAACTACTCATTAAAAGAACGGACTCATTAGAGTCATTTGTTTTAAGAAATGGGCTACACTGGCATTTTACACTGGTAAAATATTTTTACACGGCCCTAATCTTATGTTATGTTTACGCTACTTGTTATGTTTAGGTAAATTAAGTTAAAATAAAAACCTCTTATTATTATTTTAGTAAAAATCATCAATTAATTCACCATAAGGAAGCACATTAAACTTTGACATAAAACACTGAACTGACCTTTATCTCTCACAAATACATCATCTGGTATATTAGTCATTATAATGGAGAAAAAACTGCCGTGACATGAATGAATCCAATGAAATGCCCAAAAAATAAAATTTATCTGTAGGAATCCACAATCTCTGTTCATTGGACATTATGATGCTTTACATTTCAGGGCATATACAGCTGCTTTAATGGCGTTGAAGATATTGGCAGATCTACCAGCATACAGAATCCAGATATCACGGCCAATTACGCCCAGGCCAACATGCTGAAAATGCTGCAGACAGCCAAGGACATTGTCTCCTCAGCCAAAGTGGAAAACTCATTGGATAATGCTACCAAGACCATTGAGAACTGGAGCAGACACAGCGGCAGCCTGCCAGCACGTATCCCACTGGTGACCACGACTGAAAAAGTTCCTGGTCACTTCTCTTATATTACTAACCTCACAGAGAACCACATACCTCACATGCAGCGTTCCATAACTCCACCTTTCACGCAACACACCAAAACCACTAGCCCACCACCAATGGTAAACCACAGAGTCTTAACACGGCCCACTCCTCTTCGCTACACGCTTCCCGCCAGGACAAGGGGTCTTTATGACGGTATGCTTCCTGTGTCCAGTCTGAGCACACCTCATCTAGCCATGCATGATTCTCCATCCGACCTAACCCGTCTTGGATCTTCCTTTGTTCCATATAGAGACATCTACACTGAACACCATAAGCCTTGTCACAGCGATTTCTCAGATGCCGTCAGGCGAAAAAAGAGACCCCAGAATCTCATGGTGGAGTCCATGGATCTGAGGGGGCTTCACGATTATAAAGACCAATCAACGTGTCATAATGAAGCAAACCGTTTTGCTGAAAACTACCTGTCCTCATCCTTCAGCGAAAATCCTTTCGTAGCAGCGGACACAGCTTGTAATTCCTGTGTCAAAATGTACTTTGACTCTGCTTTTGATGGCATACCTTTGATAGGGAAAAGGAAGCTTCATCGCAGACCTTCATTCCTGAAAGCCACTTGGGGCCCCGACAGAGTCCGGTTCCCAGGTGACAGACCCACCGCCTCCCCACAAGTAACTATACCTGACCTGTTCCCTTGCGTGGATGTACACGGACAGGTGAGGAACACCCTGTGTTACGGCCAACCGATGGATCACAACTACCTTCACACCTTCCAGCGAAACTCCAGGAAAAGTCAGAAGTTCAGACACAGCCAGTCCACAAGGCTTCCCTCCTACAAGGAGGCGATTTTCCACAATGTGGCAGCTGTCAGAAGGGCGTCCAGTTTGGTACATAGACCCTACTCCTACCCAGAGCTACCAGTCTACCAGAGCCCACTGTCATATGGACCTGCCGAATTATGCAACATCTTCCCCTGCATGGGACATCCCAGTGACAGTGTATATGGAGGGTATAGGGCACCCGCACACCTACACAATGACCATCTAGTGCCTGTTCCAGGCAGCAGGTTGGTTCATAGCAGTCCTGTTGTGCCCATGACATGGGGCAGAATTTCCAGTCTGGAATCAAAGGTGTGAACTTGTCCTTCCATGTGCCAATTATGAACAATTTGGTCTACGAGCTTCTACTGAACAATAAAATGACTTTGCCTTTAAATTAAGCAGAAACACAAACCATGTTACTATTTTTCCTTTGTTTTTGTTTTTTAATTATTTATTTAAAATTAATTTCATATTTTATTTGTATTTATTTTTTTATTTTTTTAAAGTGCAATAATGTAATAATTAAGGGAAGTATTTAAAGAAATAATCAAATCCATTCTGAATTTTGAATGAAGGAATGAATGAATGGACATGTAGAATTGTAAATGATTAGCCGTTCTTATCTCTTTAGTCCACAAAATGCAATATATTGCTTATATGTATTGGACTGGATGAAAGATTTTTTCTTCAAAGATTGTCGTAGAGAAGTCAAACTGAGACACTAAACTATATGAAGTGTTCATTTTGAAGTACATTTGGTATTATACACTATGTAATTCTCTATGATACTGAATTTTGTAAACACTTTAGACATATTGTCCGATATTTTTTATTTTAACAGCAGGGCTATATAAGTGGATTTTTCAGGCTCTATCGTTTCCGTTCTGTCTCTCGTTCAATGTCCAATCTCCTCTCGCTCTCTCTCTCTCTCTCTTTGCTGTGAGCAGGCTTTTGAAGAAGAGCAAATTGAATGGTACTCTAATATTAGCATCATCAAGGATCTTCACACTTTAATAAATCACAAAGGACCATCAGTTAGTCCTTTGTAACTGCTGTCTTCTTTAGATGGCTGATGGATATAACTCTTTGAACACTGCCTTTTATATGCAGAGCCATGGCGTATTTTAACAGGGATTGGCTGTTTGCAGTTGTGACACGACAGAAAGACGCATTACTTTAATAATATCCCAAAAAAAAAGTCTACTGCCACCCATAAGATCAGGTTTAGGGCAGTTTCGCTGTTGGCGTTGGACGACTGCTATCAAGTCTGTTTGACCTGCATACTGAACCTCACATACCCACGAGGAAATCTGTCTGTGCCTCAAAATAAACTTGCGATGCTCCAGAGTGTGAAAGAGCGAGAGAAGGATGGCACAACGGATGGAAAAGAAGAGAAACAACAAGGAAATGAGAAACCACACTTCCTTCAGTTGGGATTTAAGCTACAATATCTGAATGTTTATGAGCTCATGAGGCTCATTTGAGGTTGTCATAAGAGTCTCATTAAAGCAACTCTGTGGAGTGATTATACAGGAGGACGTGTTACCAAAAAGTGTCCTTTACTCTAGGATTTCATTATGTCGGCTGTCTCCACTGCACGGCATTCTTGCGACGCCCAAGGTGACCTAGGCTGGGGTAATTATGCTGTAAGGCTTTTGTTATCTCCCGATAAGAATCCTTCTTTTCAAGTAGCGAGCGAGGAGCATTTGAGAATCTAAACATCGAGAAACTTTAAATTTTTTCATCACAAGCTTTTCTTTGTTATTGCCGTATTACAGTTCATAGCGCGACAGCAGTGATTTAATCTTCAATACTGCCAGCGTGCACAGATAGATTTATGTGCCACAGGATAATTGTACTTCTTTCATAATGTTTCTGCCAGTTCCGTGACATCAAAAAGGAGGCCTGCTGCATAATGACATACATTTCATTTTCATAAAAAAACAGGCATGAGGAAAGGCAGGCTAAAGCCATCATCATCATCATCATCATCCCAGCAAAGCCTTATTTCTCTGTGTTCCTGAAAAGCATATTATTGAATGATCCTGCGAGTTGATAAATGATTCAATACATGCATATAAAAACATCAAGGGAGGCTAGGGATCGTCCTCTTGTAGAAATAAGCAGCAATATATCAACGCCACAGGTAGCTGTGGTGAAAAATGAAATGCATTTAAAAGTCAAGGGGGCCTGGTCTCATCCAGCCATGAAAAAGATGCAATGGAATGACTAGGCAGACACGTGTTTTCGGAACATTAATAATTCACGTTCATTTGAATGTGATAATTTCAAGGATTTGCTTGCCATTCAGCCCCCTTGGAATCACCCAGGGCATCTATTTCCACTCAAGTGATGATAAGAGTGGTATTTTTATGATTTTATCATAGACACTACACTGAAAAAAAAAAAAATGCCTGTAAATTTTTCACTCAAAAATAGCGAATACATTTTACAAATTGGATTTTACACATTGGATTAAAGAAATAGTTTACCCAAAAATGAAAATCAGGTCTTCCAAGATGTTTAATACTTGATGTTTCTTCATTGGAACAGATTTGGAGACATTTCTATTTTATATTTATATTAATTTTCTCACCAATAGATCATCTGTAGTGAATAGGTGCCATCAGAATGAGAGTCCAAACAGCTGCTGAAAACATCACAATAATCCACTAATAATCAACACATCTTCAGTCTTGTGAAGTGAAAATCTGCATTTTTGCAATAAACAAATCCATAGTTAAGACGTTTTAACTTTAAACCTTTGCTTCTGGCTAAAATATGAGTCTTCTATCCATAATATTGCTTTCTCCTGTGAAAAAGCCCATCCCCTTTTGTCCTCTCACAACAAAATCCTCTGACATATTTGTTTGTTTTGGGCTGTTTTTGCTTGTAAATGGTGCTCGATCTTTGCATATTTCTCTCCTGATTCAGACGAGACAACTGGAGCAAGAAATAGTTTGGGTAGGACTCATATTTTAGTCTGAAGTAACAGTAAGTTAAAAATGTCTTAATTGTGGATTTGTTATTTGATTTTTGCTTCACAAGACTGGAGAAGTAATGATTACTTGTGGATTATTATGATGTTTTTATCTGCTGTTTGGACTCTTATTCTGACAGCAGAATAATTCACTGCAGTGGATCTATTGGTGAGCAAGTGTTATAATGTTTGCCGTGATGTAGTTGGATCATCATTTCTTTTTTCTCCTTGGGTGAACTATTTCTTTAAATTTGATATTTTGAAGTAGAAAGACTGAAATAGTATTTTCCCCCCAATAATCTTTATTTATACCTTAGAAAAATCATTTTTACAGTGTATTATCACTGTGCCATTATTGAAATAAAGAGAAACAAAGGAAAGGACTGGAGAGAAGGAGCAAAGGAAATGCACACATTTACAGACACACTCACAATAAAACAATTACTCACACCTGCACTGTCACGCCTTCATATCATTGCATTTCTCTGAAGCATCATTTCAGGGCTGCAAATTGTCCCAGATGCTGCTGGTCACCTTGAGCCAAGGGTTTCACAGCCTGGCGGGAGAGGGGGAAAGGCGATGGAGAAAGACACCACAGAGAGGCTGGCAGTCTGAAATTCCATCAATTAACAACTGAACAGGCTAATAAACAAGTATGTTAACTCACTGCCCGTCTGCAAACAACGAGCTGAAAATGTATATCCGTTTTTATACCCTGTATTCTGTTGCAAGCCTATCGGTGCAGTACTGAATGTGGTTACAACATGAAAGATGTAAGTTAATGTAGGTTAACACGCAAGTACATTGTCTGCACTGAGCGTATCCAAATCAAATGAGGTGATTTTATCAAGTTGCTAGTGCAATTGTTAATTAGCCTATGAGTAGTATGTGTACTATACTGTTCTGTCTATTTTATCTCATCGAAGAGTAGCAGTGATATCAGGAATCCAGGGTCTGTCCTAATCTATCAAATCTATAATTGAAGTGCTGTAACTAAATGTTGCACATTAAAGATAATTAATCAAAAAATATATTGTTATTAATGTGAATCACTACTTGGAAATGGGTTCCAACAGTATATAATCAAGTTTTGTTTTGGGCGTTTATTGTTTCTAGATGACCTGGTTGTGTTGTTTTAAAAGTTTACGTGTCCATTTTAATTGGGTCTAGCTCTACACGGTTTGTCTTCTGACTGTCATATCATACTCATGGAGAGACCTAGTGCTCAATGTTTTAATTAAAGGAACCCTGTGCTGTGCGAATTAATAGTTCCCAACCTTTGTACTTACCATCTGTTATAGCACTCCTCTCTGCTCAAAGGGATCTCATGATACGACAGCGGGTGACAAGCATTCATTTCTTACCGACCTGATTCACTGCCCTTTTAACACAAAATCCTGCTGAACCTTCAGCCCAAACTCATGGGAGAGGTTGTGGGGTTATTAGTTTTAGTTAACCGTCTCTTTTGAGATGGCTCCATTGAATCAAAAGGAACGCGCTACTGGCTAATTATTTAAAAGCTGTGATTGAATGACAGCTCTGTGATAATAAAGCAATGTTCTTGTCATTAGAGGCTGGTTATCTTTGTCCCTTCGTAATTAAACAGGCTGTGGCTGATCTTAAAAGACAGAAAATATGAGATAATCTAACATCATCCCAGAGAAATATTATGGTGTACATGTAGATTGACCCATTTAACTGAAGACTTTTATGGCCTGAACATCTAAAGGATGGTTTAAAATGAGAATGTTGATAGCGGTGGAAACTGTGGAAAATGATATTTCAGTTTCAACCATTCTGAAATTGCCAGAGGTTCTATCTTTAGACGGAGTTCAAAATGTGTTGGCGAAGACCAATTTCATCTTGTGTCAGGGACTCAGCCCAAACTCATGGGAGAGGTTGTGGGGTTATTAGTTTTAGTTAACCGTCTCTTTTGAGATGGCTCCATTGAATCAAAAGGAACGCGCTACTGGCTAATTATTTAAAAGCTGTGATTGAATGACAGCTCTGTGATAATAAAGCAATGTTCTTGTCATTAGAGGCTGGTTATCTTTGTCCCTTCGTAATTAAACAGGCTGTGGCTGATCTTAAAAGACAGAAAATATGAGATAATCTAACATCATCCCAGAGAAATATTATGGTGTACATGTAGATTGACCCATTTAACTGAAGACTTTTATGGCCTGAACATCTAAAGGATGGTTTAAAATGAGAATGTTGATCATGGTGGAAACGGTGTAGAAGGATATTTCAGTTCTACTGTTTGCAACCATTCTGAAATTGCCAGAGGTTCTATTTGTAGATGGAGTTCAAAATGTGTTGGCGAAGACCAATT